TATTGAAAAAACATTTGCGAACATTTATTAATAAAAATATTTCTAGTTATTTTAAATTATTTTAATGTAAAGGAAAAAAATTGTGAAGAAACTTTATCCCACAGCGAACATTAAAACGTATCCAAAAATTCTCAAAAAACTATTAAAGTTTGTTATTGTGAAAAAAAAACTATATAAAGATTTCACACATTACAAACAACAAAAAGAGGATAATAATATTGCTAAAAAAAATTGTGACATCCAGGAAAAAAGTTCTATGATTGCAGCTAAAATTTTATAACAAAAACCTAAAAATAAAAAAAATACAAAAATAAACTTGAAAATTAAACAAAAAAATTAAAACAAAACAATCGTACAGCCAAATACTTTGGCTTAAAACAAATATGAAAAATAAACAAGAACTTTAAGAGGAAACTAGGTAAACCATGAAAGCTATGTATGAAATAAGAACTTTACAGATATTTATGTTTCTATTGAGCTACATGTATGTATATGTAATGTGTGTATGTGTTAAAATTGTAAAAGGTCATGTTGTTTACTGTCATAGAACGTATAACGTTCTTTGATTAATTGTTATAATTTTTACTTAAAACAACCTTCAACTTACTGTAGTGTAGGGTATTATTTTCACAAAAACATCCTTCAAAAAAAAAAAAAAAAGTTCCCCAAAACAACAAAATGACAAACTTTACTTTTACTGCATGCAAGTTTACTTGCTTTACACGCGAAAAAATTCAAAAATTAATGAAAAACTTTTTGCATAATCTTTTGTTACAACAAAAAGCTACAAAAAGAAACTAACAAAAACAGCAGCAACAACTTAAAAAAAATAGTGTATAAAATGTAAATTGTGCAAAAAAAAAAAAAAACAAAATGACTAAAGTGATATTATTTGTAACCAAAAAGACAAAACAAAAAAACTTTGTTGTTATTTTACTCGTTTTTATTGTTGTTTTCGTAACTCAAAACCGCAAACTATCGCAAAGTCAAACCCAGTAAAGTGTTAGTCAAGCCACCAACCAACCATCGAAGGATTTTGTTTTCGAAGTAGAAAAACATTACAGAGTGGCCAAAAAATTTAACAGGGCTGGGGAAAATTAAAATTTTTTATCGAAATCGATAACTAATAATAATGTACTAGAACTTACGGAAGAGTTCAAAATAAAAAGTCAGAAAGTCCTCTACAGAGGATCAATTAACTAAAACAAAATTTTTCTAGACAATACGTGGTATATTATAGGATTAATTAGCTCTGCTATAATAGTAGTTTATATAAAACCATCTTGAAAGGGATATACCAATAAATCAAAGGAATTGGAACTTTTATAGATAATTCTAAATTTTCCATCTCTGATCTAGAGTTTGATACCAATGCCATGCAGGATTTAAAGTTTGGTCTAAAACTAAAAAGACATTTGTTTTTGTCTTGGCATTTTTTCTTCTCAATTTTATTGCACATTTTGTTTTCATTTTTAAGGATAAAATATGCTACAACAATTAAGTCGACAGTCTATGAACACTATACCTGATTTTTACATTTGTAAACTTCTAATATTTTGCCCTATGTTTGTAGATTTACTTTTATTATTCATGGTTTTCCTGTGAAAAATTTTAATTTTTAATAAGTATTTAACCTTCGTATTCATAAAGATATTAATCGTTTATTTTAGATTATAAGTTCCTACAATAAACCATCAACAACTTTATAAACTAATCTATTACATGTATGACATAAATGTCTCAAATGAAATGAAGAACTTTGTATACGTTTAATTTATGAAAATACGTTGCTACAAAAACATGACAAGGAATTTCCGTTGCAAGTTATTATACCCTACCTTTTAGTTGTTCATCAACGAACTATTACGAACGTTTGTAATTTCTATAATAAAAAATTTTTCGACCCTATACATTATATATATTTCGAGGCCTTATAGTTACCGGTTTCGATTAAGCTATGTCCGTCCGTCTGTCTGTCTGTCTGTCTGTCTGTCTGTCTGTCTGTCTGTCTGTCTGTCTGTCTGTCTGTCTTTCTGTCTATCTGTCTGTCCGTCTGTATGTCTGTCTGTCTGTATGTTTGTTGAAATTAATTTTCTAAAGATCCAAGATATTTTCGGGACTCAACTCTTCAACAATTCTGGCAGGCTTGCTTTCGATAAGTTTCCTATTTAAAATCAGAAAAATCGGTTCATAAATAACGGAGATATGAACAAAAAGCCTAGACAACTTCGCACCTACTGTAAAAGAATAACACTTTACGAATGAGGCTGTGTGTTGTTATTGGCTAGAAATATGAAATTATGCATGATTATGTGAGATCCTATATAAGGGAACATTTTGTACTTTTTCGTTCTTCAAAAGATACTTTTTGATTTTTCTATAATATTGAAACTATAAACATAAAATTAAGAAGGCACATAGGTCAAGGAGTAAATAAAAACCTATAAAATGCGACTTTTTGGTACTTTTTCATTCTCTAAAAAAATACTTTTTTTCGAATAAGAGGGGACTTTTTGGTAGGCTTTCGTTCTTCAAAAGGTACTTTTTGAATTTGCTATAATATTGAATCTAAAAACAAGAAATTAAGCACTTAGAGCTTGGAGTAAATGATAACTTATAAAATGGGACTGTTTGGTACTTTTTAAATCTTCAAAAGGTACTATTTGAATCTTAATATTGAACCTAAAAGCATGTTGAGCCTACTTTTTGTTCTTCGTAAATTTTATTTTAATCTGATATTTTACTAAATTTTTTTTTAATTCTCTAAAAAGTACTTTTTTTTTGAATAAGAGGGGACTTTTTTGTAGGCTTACATTCTTCAAAAGGTACTTTTTGAATTTGCTATAATGTTGAATCTAAAAACAAGAAATTAAGCATTTAGAGCTTAGAGTAAATGATAACTTATAAAATGGGACTGTTTGGTACTTTTTAAATCTTCAAAAGGTACTATTTGAATCTTAATATTGAACCTAAATTTTTGATTTTTCACTAAAAATTCCGTTTTTCAATGAAAATTCTAATTGTCGTTACAAATTAGATATTGCACTTTAAAGACAATTTTTCGCTTTTTTATTGAAAAATTATAGAAGAATAGAGAAAAGATTTTGAAAATTAATCAAATTAAAATCGGGCGATTCTTATTAAAGAGCTCCGTTATGTTTTTAAATTATGATAAAAAATAAGGAAATATTACTCAAACAAATTCTGTTAAAAAATGTTTATCATATTTGTAGTTTAAAAACAAATAAACTAAGTGATAAATTTTATCTCTTTGTTAACACCCCAATAATGTGACTCTATAAACTATAGCTGACTCTTTAGTCAGTTGCTTTATTCTATTTGTTATCAGTAGACAAAGTGACGCTAAGTTTTAGCAAAACGTTTCACAACAGTTGTTTTCTAAAGATATTAAAATACGGGGGGATCTTTTAAGATAAACCTATCGTGTGAGGAATTGTAATATAGAAATTGACCTACTTTTTTGTGAATGTTATTTTATGATATATCATTACTTCTGTGCTATTAAAAGTCTTCTCATACGCACGATAGTAGAACGATACGAGGATCGTCTCTTTTCTGAAGAAGTAGGAAGGAAGCAGGTATTGCACGCAGAGAAAAAATATAGTTGTGCTAACCATAATCTAAGAGCAACATATTATGATTAGTTAAAACATATTATGATCATTATCAGTATAATAAGATATCATATTATTATTATTAAATATAGTCCGAATATTTCGTCATAATATAGTTTTATTAATCATAATGAGATGTTGATGCTCAAGTAATCATATTATGGTTTCATATAATATGTAAGCTAAAATATAGATTTATTGTTCGTTACCGAACCAACATAAAAAATACGATAAGTTTTACTTGATCGGATATACGGTTGATTCGATACCGAACCATCATAAAAAAAGGAAAATTACGATCAACTGTCTTTGTAATAGCGTTTGCTAATTTGATGCCCAGTTCTATTTATAAAAGTACTGGATATTGTTAACCAGGGGCAATCCAGAAAATTTTTAACTAAGAGACCAAGATATGTTTTTCTAAAAGACTGAGCAGGGCTGAATCGGGATCTGACCTCATAATTACTCCAGCACATCTAGTTTTTTAGATATCGTGCCCTTAACATCTAAAAGTACCCATTTTGTGGCCAAATTGCACGATATCTAGAAAATTATACTTTGGCCTCTTGGTTTCGACTTTTCTCAAAGTTTTGGTGGTCCATGTAAGTTAAAGAAATATCTGTCTTTTCCACATAAGTTATGTTTATACCTACTCCAATATAAAGTAATTTTTTTGTCTTGTAGCATGCCTTGATTGTTCGGAATACTACACCACTATTACCACCAATCTCCAATGCCACATTCCACACAAATGCATAAATATATTCTTCCTTTTGTTCAGGCTTTTTTCCAGTCTCTAGCTGTTTATTTCTTTATCAACCAGATGCCAGTTTTGTTATTATAAACTTACTGCTAGCCGAGTTACATTGTTGGTTATATTTTGGGTGACATCCGTTTTAGACTGTTAGGGAAATTTCGATTTGACCATTTACTAGTTCATAGTTCTTTCTGTTGTCTAAGGAGGGATGTGTTCATTTTGGTAGATTGAGATTTTCTGCATTAACAATTACAATATTACTTATTTACTTATTTCGAACTTTTTTTTTGATAACTCACTTGGGTTTTCCATCTTTCTACCACTAAGCAGTCCAATACTTAAATGACACAGTAGCTGTAATACTTTCTGGGGATCACATGAAGATAAAAATACTTTTTTCATTAAAAATTGTGTTATAAAGTTTATGAACTATTTTGCGAAAGTGGTTTATTAAGTTATAAGCATAGAAAACTAAGACTATTTCGTTTATGATAAGATAATAAACATAATTTGTTTTAAAACTAAATAAATTTATACTGCATTATAATCTAAAATGCAATAAAATAAAAATATAATGTTCAAAATAATAAAAATCTTAAGAATAACTTTTATACTTCCCTTAAAGCACAATCATACATTAAATTAAGTTTCAATATATCTTTGAAACTTATACCTTTTCTCTGACCTATCTCCACATCGCTCTTTAAAGGTATTATAGTAGCTAGACCATTTTTCGTAAAGGCCGTAGAGCTATAGTGCATAACACTCTCATAATCATATTCAACACCAAAGTCGGTGACAAACTTTTCACTTTGTTTCCTAAAGAAATGTTTATATTTATCCTGAACATTGTCCAGCATAACCCAAATATATTCATCTCGATTTGGAGCACTATGTTGATGATAGAAACCTAAGGCGTGTAATAGTTCATGCATAATCTTGCCTTTTATAAAGCAGCCTTTATCCAAATCGTTTACATGTAAATTTAATGTCTGTTTAAAGCCCGTATAACCCACTGTGGCATAACAACCGTGCGCTGTTCCGGTAATATTTATATAGTCTCTGGTATCATTTCCAGCCTCCAGGAAACGTATACAGCTTACCGATTCAATGGTAGCCATAGCTTGTTGTATATAAGAGATTTGATCGGCATCTAAAAGGAAAATTAATATAAAATATTTTTGAAATGATTTTCTAAATAAATTACTTACTAAACACTTCATCTATTTTATAGTAAACCATGCCCAAAGGCCAAGTTTTTAAAACATCTGTTACACCATTTCTGTTGGTTGCTAGCAGCATATCACCTTCATAATAACCCGCTGTTAATTCGGGATCTTCTTCCCATATTTCGGTATTAATAGGAGCTGTGTAGCCGTACACTAGTAAGTTGCTTAGTAAAATTATGATTACATAGAGTTTCATGTTGTTGCTTTGAAGATTGTTCTTAAACTAGTTAAGATTTTTTGTAAAAATGTTTTATTTATAATTACACAAATATTATGGAAATTTTTGGAATTTGTAAAACTTTTGTAAGTTGTAAAATCTAAATCATAAAATAATAAAAAAATATGTTTTTTAGACATCTTATCATATTTGAGTTCGTTATTCATTACAATAATTATACCCTACACCACTTTAGTGGGGAGGGTATATTGGATTTGTGCTGATGTTTGTAACATACAAAAATATTCGTCCTAGACCCACCTTAAAGTATACCAATCGGCTTAGAATCGTTTTCTGAGTCGATTAAGCTATGTCCGTCCGTCCGTCTGGCTGGATGGCTGGCTGGCTGGCTGTCCATGTAAACCTTGTGCGCAAGGTACAGGTCGCAAGGTCAAGATAATTGGATGAAATTTGGCATGCACGTTTTATTTGACCCAAGGACGAAGCCTATTGAAAATGGTTAAAATCGGTCCATTATTTCACCTAGCCCCCATAGAACAGAACCCCCCGAAAAGGGCTTCTGAGCTCATAATTATGTTAAATATACAGATATATCGATAAAATACGGCACAACTAAGTTTTATAGAAGTCTTGATGACCCTGCCAAATTTCATAAAGATCGGGCCCCATTTGACCCTAGCTCCCATACAAAGTCCCCTTCAGAAAATTACTTGAATGTCCCAAATTAACTTATAAACACAAATATCGCGATGAAATTCAGCACAATAAAATATTATGTAAATATAAATATATTCACAAAATTTTATCGGGCTTGGTCCATATTTGCCCCTAGCCCCCATATAAAGCCTCTTTCAGAAAATTAGTTGTCCATCCATAAATTGCTTAAATGTATCGGAACAAGGGAATATTGAAAATAAATGCTTTACTATGAAAAATAAATCACATTTAATATTCATAACTGGTGTAGGGTATCATATGGTCGGCCTCGCCCGACTATACTTTCTTACTTGTTTTTATCTAAAATTGTACTTGCTTTTAGGGGTCAAGTTTAAAATCTTTTTTTCGAATTTCCAGATAACATACTTAAGTTTTATATATCTTTCCTTATTGGAATTATCACTTGGAGTATTTCCCACAACGAAAATACAAACAAGATCATAGTTTCGACTAAGGTCGTGATTATACATATAAGAAAGTCTAAGTCGAACAAATAAACGAGCTTAAAGTCAAATCTATAGATGAGCTTAACGAAGATTCAATGGACAAGTCTATAGACGAGCTTAAAGTCTAGTCTATAGACGAGCTTAAAGTGTAGTCTATAGACGAGCTTAAAGTGTAGTCTATGGACGAACTTAAAGGCAAGTCTTTAGACGAGTTCAAAGTCTAGTCCATAGACGAGTTCAAAGTCTAGTCTATAGACAAGTTTAAAGTCTAGTCTATAGACGAGTTTATAGTCTAGTCTATAGACGAGTTTAAAGTCTAGTCTATAGACGAGTTAAAGTCTAGTCTATAGCGAGCTTAAAATCTAGTCTATAGACGAACTTAAAGTCTAGTGTATATACGAGCTTAAAGTCTAGTCTATAGACGAGCTTAAAGTCGAGTCTATATACGAGCTCAAAGTCGAGTCTATAGATGAGCTTAAAGTCGAGTCTTTAGACGAGCTTAATGTCGAGTCTATAGACGAGCTTAAAGTCAAGTCTATAGACGAACTTAAAGTCTAGTGTATATAAGAGCTTAAAGTCTAGTCTATAGACGAGCTTAAAGTCGAGTCTATATACGAGCTCAAAGTCGAGTCTATAGATGAGCTTAAAGTCGAGTCTCTAGACGATCTTAATGTCTAGACTATAGACGATCTTAATGTCTAGTATATAGACGATGTTAATGTCTAGCCTATAGACGAGCTTAAAGTCGAGTCTAAAGCCTAAAGACTATAGTCAAGAATAAATGTGTAACGTATGTAATTCCATAGCGAGACTTATGGGGGTTTATTACTTAAGTTTATAATATGGATGAGGAGACGAAACTAAAGATAAGATGATAGACGATCCATCTAAGATGGGAGTGTAATAAGTAAATTAAAAAATTTAATAATTTTTGACAAAATAAATTCAAAATTTTATTGTATTCATTGTATTTATCTTTCACAAGTCTTTTGTTCAGTTTCCATTTCTTAAAAAAAATTCATTCGATAACTTTTCATTAATCCCTACAATTATACATTGCCTTAAGTTTAGTAATATCACCCTCACTCAAACCACGACGTTGACCAATTTCTCTATACTCATCGCCCAGTGGAACTATAGTCGTAAAGCCATATTTCGAATATGCTGTAGCATGATAATGCATTATACTAGCATAATCATATTCAACACCAAAACTTGTTACAGCCCCCTCATTGTATTTGTTAAAGTTCTTCATATATCCCTCCTTAACATTACCCTCTATAATGCGAATATATTCATCACGATCAGGTACATTATGTTGATGATAGAAACCCAAAACATGTAAGAGTTCATGCATAATAGTACCCTTTACGAAGCAGCCTCTGTCAAGAGCATAGTATTGTAGATTCATTTCCTGTTTAGTACCACGATAACCAATTTTAGAAAAACAACCATTTTGTTGAGCGGAAATTTCCACATAAGCGGTCGTATTTTCAGAAGCTTCAAGGAATTGTATACAGCTGTCGTTTTCAATAGCGTCCATGGCTTCACGTATATATCGGATATGGTCCTCATCTAAGGAAATTGATTAAGAACAAATTATATCATTTAATAAAGGGATATATATTTTAAGTCTTACCATATTCTTCACTTATTTTATAGTATACTATGCCATCGGGCCATCTTTTATTTTCATCAGTGCCTCCATTTCTATTTAAATCTATATCCATATCACCTTCAATAAAACCAGCCGTTAATTCAGGATTTTCTTCCTCAATTGCCATGTCTATCGGAAGAGCATAACAGTTTGCCATTAAAAGAAGTAGTAGAGCTAAACTTTGGTATTGCTTCATGTTGGTGAAATGGATAATACTAGAAAACTGTTTGATTATTTTTGGAAAATTGTGCAATTTATATGAGATCTTGAAGGTTACAATTGTTAGAGTTAGACGAGTTCACGTGTATTCAAGTACATTTGCTTTTATTAGAGTTTGTTGACGTGTAAAATTAAAGTTGTAAAATAATGTTAATAATATATATGTAAGTAAAATAAATTAGATAGAGATATACTTCTAATGTAAGAATCATAATCCAGCATATTTGATTAAATTTGTTTAAAAATCTTATCATATATATTTATTTCTATGATAAGTATTTAAATACAAAACTGTTATAACTAACACATATGGTTTCTATCTTATACAGAGTATAATAATTGAGAAATTAATGTTAATTTGCCTCTAATGGGAAAAAATAAATTTCATAGAAATATTTTTCATGACATAGACGGGCTTTAACTTGACTCTATAGATGAGCTTTTAGTTGATTCTATAAACGGGCTTTATGTCGAGTCTATAGACAAGTTTTAAATCGAGTCTATAGATAAAAATTCGAGCTTTTAGTGGAGTCTATAGAAAAGCTTAAAGTCGATTGTTGGATTTCTGTAAACATAAAACATTCCTGTGCACTACACGGATCAATAGCTTTATGGACGACCTTTTATTCAATTCTATAAACGAGCTTTAACTCGAGTCTACTAGTGAGCTTTATGTCGATTAAACAGATGAGCGTTAAGTCAAGTCTAGCTTTTTGTCCAGTCGATAAAAAGCTTAAAATTGATTATTTGGATTTTTATAAACATACAACATTTTAATCAAGCTTCATTGATAAATAATAATTAAATTAACTTTTTTAATTTTAATATTTAATTCTTTTGTCTCACTTTCTTTAATAAATTGCAAAACATTAATTAAATATATTTTTCCACAATTTCTTGTTGTATATAAGCTTATTGATAAAATATTTTTTCTATAAATAAATAAGACTACTTATAATTAATATGCAGTATTAATTTTTAAAAATTCGGTAAAGTTTAATCATCAAAATGATTATATTGAAAGTGATTCTATTGATCATTTTATTTTTGGGTTACTCTCAAGCAGTACCCGTTGAGACAATGACAAATGATCCTGAGTTAATGGATGGATTTTTCGAAGGTGATATGGATATAGATTTTACACGTAACGCTTTAATAGCCCCTACCAGAAAATGGCCAAATGCTATAGTGCCTTATAAAATTGATCAGGTGTTTGGTAAGAAAGAAGTTTAGATATTATTTTGATTTAAATATTTCCTAATAATTTTTTTCTCCTTAGATGAGGATCATATGTTATATCTTATGAGAGGCATGAAAATAATCCAGGCAAACAGTTGTATACAGTTTCGTCGAGCCACCAATACCGACACATCCTATATCCAAATTAAAGGCAATCCTACTGGCTGTAATGCTTTCGTCGGTTATTCAGGTGGTAAACAGATTGTTAATTTACAGTCCCATAATTTGGATACGGGTTGCTTTAGAATAGGCACTATTATGCATGAATTATTACATGCTTTGGGCTTTCATCATCAGCATAGCTCCCATAATCGCGATGATTATATCAAGGTTGTATGGGAAAATATTCAAAAGGGGAAGAAAACAGCTTTTAAAAAAATAAATGCCAATACTATTACGGATTTTGGTGTTGGTTATGACTATGATAGTGTTATGCACTATCCACCGCAAGCGTTTTCGAAAAATGGTAGAAGAACTTTGTTATCTTTGAAGAGTGAAAATATGAATTTTGGTCAACGACGAGAATTAAGTGAGAAAGATATTAAGAAATTAAATTTAATGTATAAATGTAAAGTTTAAAAAAAAAATATTAACACGGAAAAGTCAAATAAAATCTAATTTTTATTCATAAGATCGTGTTTAAAGTATATATGTATATATTTTGTAATAGTTATTGGGAGTGGCACCGCCCATATGAAGGAAATATGAATGGAGTACATAAGAGAATACATAGCAGTTAAAAGTCCAGAAGTTTGTAGAAGCCACTAACTAACTAACTAGCTAACTAACTAACTAACTAACTAACTAACTAACTAACTAACTAACTAACTAACTAACTAACTAACTAACTAACTAACTAACTAACTACTAACTAACTAACTAACTAACTAACTAACTAACTACTAACTAACTAACTAACTAACTAACTAACTAACTAACTAACTAACTAACTAACTAACTAACTACTAACTAACTAACTAACTAACTAACTACTACTAACTAACTAACTAACTAACTAACTAACTAACTAACTAACTAACTAACTAACTAACTAACTAACTAACTAACTAACTAACTAACTAACTAACTAACTAACTAACTAACTAACTAACTAACTAACTAACTAACTAACTAACTAACTAACTAACTAACTAACTAACTAACTAACTACTAACTAACTAACTAACTAACTAACTAACTAACTAACTAACTAACTAACTAACTAACTAACTAACTAACTAACTAACTAACTAACTAACTAACTAACTAACTAACTAACTAACTAACTAACTAACTAACTAACTAACTAACTAACTAACTAACTAACTAACTAACTAACTAACTAACTAACTAACTAACTAACTAACTAACTAACTAACTAACTAACTAACTAACTAACTAACTAACTAACTAGCTAACTAACTAACTAACTAACTAACTATCTAACTAATTAATAAGCTGTTAAGTTGTTACTTTTGCTTTTGAATATAAAAAACCTAAGAGAATAAATTAAGTACTTACATATATGGTTATTTGCAAGTTATTACTACACTCCTCCTAAGTAATACAGACGTCATGTAGTAGCATTTTATATGTAAATGATTGGGTATCTGCCATGTTGTAATTATGTGAGTAATTATTTAAATTTAATTGTCTCTATCATCTTTATCATTGCATTGTGCACTGCACGGGTCAATAGCTTTAGTCAAACTACATTGTTTTAGATAAGTAAAGATTAGACTCGGTTTATTGGCATTTAATTTCGCATTTTTTAGATATTTAATTCTTTTGTCTCACTTTCCTAGATAAATGAAATAAAACATTAATTAAATGTTTTTTTCCACAATTTCTTGTCGTATATGCGCTTATCGGGGGGAAAATTATATAAATATAAGACTACATTAGAAAGTGATATTATTAATATTTCAGATTGCAACAAAGTTTAAGCAACAAAATGTATAAAAAAGTGTTTCTAGTGGCCTTGCTATTTATAACCTACTGTCAGGCAGTACCAGTTGAGACAATGGAAAAAGATCCTGAGTTAGTGGGTGGTTTCTTCGAAGGTGATATGGATTTAGATCTAACACGTAATGGTTTAGTAGACACTAGCAAAAGATGGCCAAATGCTATAGTACGCTATAAAATTGATCAGGTGTTTGGTAAGAAATAAACAACTCTTTTAGCTTTATTTTTAATGAGTTTTATTTCGATTTAGATATCGATCATACGTTATACATTTTAAAGGGTATGCAAATTATTGAATCCAACAGCTGTATACGTTTTCGTCATGCCGCAGATACTGCCACATCCTACATACAAATTAATGGCAATCCTACTGGCTGCAATGCTTTTGTCGGTTATACAGGTTTTAAACAGAATGTTAATTTACAACCCGATAATTTGGATACTGGTTGCTTTCGGATAGGCAGTGTTATGCATGAATTATTACATGCTTTGGGATTTCATCATCAACATAGTACCTTCAATCGCGATGATTATGTTAAAGTTGTATGGGAAAACATTGAACAAGGAAAAGAGCCTTTCTTTCAAAAATTTAATGCTTCAACTGTTACGGGTTTTGGTGTCGGTTATGATTATGGTAGTGTTATGCACTATCCCTCGGCGGCATTCTCGAAAAATGGTGAAAAAACTTTGATACCATTGCAGGGTGAAAATATAGAGATTGGTCAACGTCGGGAATTAAGTGAGAAGGATATTAGGAAATTAAATATAATGTATAAATGTAATGTTTAAATGAAAATTTAATAAATAAATAAAATTGAATTTTTACTGTAATTCTTTTTAACCAGTTTTTATTATCTCTGCATAAAATACATCAGCAAACGTGAATAATTCAGTAAGATATTAGATAAGAAAACTACATGATTCCTTAAACATATTAAATTTAATTTACTATACTAGTTAATTAAATTTAGAAATGTTGCAAAATATTTGCACTTTCTTAGTTTGTAGATTTATAAGAAAAACATGTGTTTTAAAAGATTTTAACAAAAATACGTCATAACTACATATTTGAGACAGTAACGAATTAGGTAAATATTTTGCTTTAATTATACATTTAGGCAATTTCTTAACAAAACCAAAACTGTGGTAAGAGACCGACCCTACACGCCCACAGTATTATGAGGTCATATATCAAACACCAGCCTCTCTCTTGTATTTGTAATATAAGGATAATGAGAATAATTAGGCACAGGTCATAGTCAGATCTGTAGCGAAATTAATTTTTGTACTTTAATAAAATTTTACATGACCAAGGGGGGTCCCTTAGTTTTTTAAAAAATTAAAATTGATGAGTTCAATCCACCAAATAATTTTCAGGCCCTATAAACGATATATTTATAATGAATCCTTATAAGTAAGGGAATGGCTTATGATATTTCCATCTGTCTGATTGTCTGCAGAAATTAATTTCAGAAATCAAAATCAGACATGGAAAATTTTGAAAAAGTGCTAACTCGTAACAAAAATAGTACTTTTTAGGTATTAAAGTACTTACCTAATTTTCCACTATACTATAGACTAAAATATAGACTCGAACATAAACTAAACAACAATATAGACTATATACTAGACTATAGACTAGACTATAGACTAGACTATGACTAGACTATAGACTAGACTATAGACTAGACTATAGACTAGACTATAGACTAGACTATAGACTAGACTATAGACTAGACTATAGACTAGACTATAGACTAGACTATAGACTAGACTATAGACTAGACTATAGACTAGACTATAGACTAGACTATAGACTAGACTATAGACTAGACTATAGACTAGACTATAGACTAGACTATAGACTAGACTATAGACTAGACTATAGACTAGACTATAGACTAGACTATAGACTAGACTATAGACTAGACTATAGACTAGACTATAGACTAGACTATAGACTAGACTATAGACTAGACTATAGACTAGACTATAGACTAGACTATAGACTAGACTATAGACTAGACTATAGACTAGACTATAGACTAGACTAGACTAGACTATAGACTAGACTATAGACTAGACTATAGACTAGACTATAGACTAGACTATAGACTAGACTATAGACTAGAATAGACTAGACTATAGACTAGACTATA